TAAATACATAGAATGATGTGTCTCACCTTCAGCAATTCTGATTCCTTAGGTTGGGCTGAGACTTAGGACTTTATGTTATAAGCAGCTGGCCCAGGAACCACACTTTGAAAATTGCTGACTAAAGCCTAACCCAACAAAAAGGTTGTACAAACTAAGCAAGGTCAAGGCGGAGGTCAAAGCCGATACCTCCACTTACATCCCCTCTTCCCTGAGGCTCCCATCCAGAGTGTTTCAGAGGTGTGACAGCAGAGAGCATATGGTCATCTGGTCCTCCAGCCCTGGGGGCAGATCACAGCTTCCTTCCTGCCCTTGTCTGGGATTGCTGAACACCATCGAGGTCACAGTCTGGCACCAACCTGGAGGGCACTGCGGCCTCCAGCATCTGTGTCTTCCTTGGTGGCCATGCAGCAGGTGGAGACACCAGGAGCAACAGACTGCCCAGGCCCATCGTGTCTCCACAGCCTTCTGTGACCAACCAGCTGTCCTTGGCTCTATTTTTAGTTTGTCTCCAGCGATTGTGAAGGATTTTTAGAGCTCCTTTCCCAAGAGGGCCAGGGACATGTGCATTCCGTCACTAATGCCGCACTCGGCAGGGAAGAACTGAACCCTTCTGCCAGCCTCAGTGTCCCCACGTGCTTCTGGCCCATGTCCTTCTCTTGGAAACCCTCCCTTCCTCCTTGGCTGCCAGCCCTGTCACTGGCTTGTAGACAGTACCAAAGACCACGATGTGCCAGCCAACAGTCACTGATTAAAATGTCTATGAGATGCATGGATTTCAGCAATCCTAGGGAAGGTGCTATTGCTAAGATAGAAAAAAAAGGAGAAAAAATGCACTTGCTTCCAAAGTGCTGGAAGAGTGCCATGCCCAGACACACACCCAGTGAATTACTTTCTCACCATTCCCACCATGTCCATCATTATTCTTCCTTTGCATCAGGGAATAAGAAAGCAGGCTCCAGAGACTGGCAGGCCACAACTCTAACCACTGTGCCTGTTTACTTCTCTATCATGTAGCCTCAGGCAGGGATCCAACCCATCTGTCCTCTCTTCTGATCTTCCCCACCCCCCTACAAGACCCTGGAGGTCTGCCATGATGGTGACCCATGCTGGGTGACAATGAGGATAACAGCAGACAGGCTAGCACCCTCAGTTGGTCCCATGCACTGTTTTCCCTTCCTGGTACCCAGCCATCCAGCTAATTTAACTTCTAAGTTATGTGGTAATTCTAGGTCTCTCTTACCTGCAGTGCTACAACTCATCAGCCTTGGGGTGTCCCTTAAAATGGATTCTTCTTTCCAGGCACCCAAAACACAGTAGGGGTCATTGGCAGGAAGTGGGGTGAAGATGGCTAAAGATGATCCTAGCCCAAGGAAGGAGGTTTGCAGTGATTTCCCCAAGACCGGAAGCCACAGTCCTACTCTGCACCAGATACACGGGTGGAACCTGGGTCCCCAAAAGGACTGGGTCCACTTGACGAAAAAGACCGACTGTGAACACTAGAAGCCCAGAAGTCCTTGTCACCCACATGCCATTGGATGCTACCAAATGACTGCACTCACAGGGCTGCCAGAGCCACAGAATCTTTCAGGAACAACTCCTTGGAATCCAAGCTACCGTTAGACATGGCATTTGTGGGCCATGGGGGCATGAGGAAATCAGATGTGATATCGTCCACGGATTCGCCGGCCTTGGCTCAATGTCACCGTGGCTGTGACGGAATTCATCAATTTCCCCAAGAACAGGTCCCTTGCACCAACTACCTCCAACTCATAACACGTTCAGCTCCATTTCTGGCTCTCTCTCCACCAGCCAGGTGGAAGGTCCACCCATCTTCCATTGAGCTCTCCCACCTGCCATTCCTGGATGTTCTCACATCCTGTCTAGTTCAGGCCCTCAGGCCCTGTCCCCTACCCTTGTTCCTTCACTCCGCTCCACAACTTTTCCAAGTCACTTTTCATGGACTGTTATTCTCATCATGGGCCGGAGATTTAGCTCAATGGCACCGTGCCTGCCTCGAAAGCGCAAGGTCCTGAGTTCGATCCCTGATACAAAAAAAAGTTCTCACCTTTTAACAGAGTCTTAGTTCAGCCCCTCCCTCCCCAACAAGAACTCAGATCTGGTACTTTAGCTCAGGTAGCATAAGTGAGGAGAAAGAGGCAGATAAGCCAGGAGAACCAGTGGGGTGACTAAGGAGGGCTCAACCCTGCCTGCAGATCCCCTGAAGTTCCCTGTAGAGAACCCAGTCAGAGCTGTCTCACCCAGGAATGAGGGGCTGGCTCCTGTTTCCCGATTACAGCCCTCCATGGTCCCTCAGAGCACCAACCCAGCCCTCCCAGGTGTCCCTGCACTGGGCTGAGCCAGATGCCATGGCCAGGAAGACTCCTGCAGGCAGAGAAAAGGCAGCAGGCGCAAGGCTGCACCCCAAAACTGCAGGTGAGGTCAAGGAGGCCGCAGGCTTCAGGGGCAGGGCACCCACAGCATTCTCCACGCCTCCGGGTGGAATTCCTCATGCCTGGGCCTGGCACCAAGGCAGGCTTCCCTGAGAAGACACAGGACACCCTGTGAAACTGAGATTTCACAGAAACAATGGAAAGTATAAGTATACCCCAAACACTGCATGGGACATACTTATGCTAAAAAATTGTATATTATTTACCTGAAATCCTAATTTCACTGGGCATTTTGTATTTGTACTTACTAAATCTGCCAACCCTCCCACAAGGTCCTGCCTGATCTGGTCTCAATCCAGATCAATCCATTCCCTAGTAACCCAGTCCTCAAGCCTTCCCCACAAGAGACGCAGGTTCTCACTGTAATGGAAGTAGTCATCTCTCCCTTAGGAGCTAAAGACTCTGAATACACAGGCCTCCCGTCAGCTCTCCCTCTCACTTCTACAGGCAGCTGCTGTCATCTCCTGACCGTGGAGCATTCATTGGCATCAACTCTCTCGTACAGTGGTCAATAGCCAATAGATAATTACGGTACAGGGTGGGAGACAGGCCACAGAGCGCCCTGCTCCGGCCCTGGATCTCAGTGTAAGGAGAGCGCAGGGCACAGGGAGACAGTCTGTTAACCACTGTGGAGTGCTGTGTTCAGGAAGGACTGGATCATGCCAAGAATCCAGTAAAAAGCTCCCAGTGTCACCTCTGGCTGCAAGGATGGCCACAGTGTCTCAACTACAAACAGGTCTTTGACATACACTCTCAATACCTTAACTGCCTCGGGATTTCGCCCTGCACTAGCACTAGCACCGACCTAGGCGGCATTTGGGACTAGCTGCTCCACATGGCCCCAATACGATATGGCCCATCCGTAGGACAATGCCACTGTCACCTTCTTCTCTCCCCCTCCCCTGTCTCCTTTTATAATCTGGTGCTCTGGGATCAATGTAATAGTCTTACATGTACATAATACTTAAAATTGTAAAGCACTTTCCCACAAATGATTTTATTTCAACATCCCTGTAATGAGGCAGGCAAAATGGGTATTTTCTCCATTTGACAAATGAGGCAAACTAGTGCTTGCTTCGGCAGCACATATACAAATGAGGCAAACTAATGACTAAGTGATCACTGTTAAACAGAAAGTTTAGCAGCAACATTTAACTTCAATATGTTCTTCAAATCAAACCCTTATTCCTGCATTTCTGGACCACCACCACGGTGGCCGCACAGCAGCCAGGGGATCGAGTCACCTGCTCCCTGGACTCCCACTGTGACAAGCAGGGCTGGCCCCAACTCCTGGACCTCTCCTTCTGCATCCCGGTGATTCGGGCACCCACTGGGAGGGAACGTCTGAGCAGGAGGGCCTTGGAGGAGGCGCTAAAGGAAAGGCTTCCCTCAGAAAACGGAGGAGGGAAATTTCTAGTCCTCTTTGCAGTGGAGTCACTGGCCACCAACATGCCAGCTCTGCCTTTGGCCGTCTGTCAGAAAGGATTAACTTTGATGAGGTACCCAGGCAGCCCTGGAGAACGCGCTGCACACCCCGTTCTGCCCCAGACCCACCATGGAGAGAGAACACACTTTTCTTCCTCGAGCCCTCTAGTCTGTGTCCGCGCACAGGAGTGTGTTCGGTCTGTGCACGCGCGTCTGGGAGTGTGCCAGCACGTGTGTGGTGTTCCGACAAGCATTTACTGGGTTGGGCTTGGCGGAGGGTGTGACCCAGTGTGTGTGTGGGGTGCTCCCTTGGGGTCCAGATAAGCGCTGTGGCGCACCTCCCACGACCCCACCCCGCTGCGCAGTGGAGAGGACAAGGGGCATCGGGCTCCTGAGCAGGATGGGCGTACGACCTGGCAGCTGCTCCCTCTGGTTGGACAAGGTCGATCTGTAGATTGATCAATATCGCTAAAGTCCAGCCCAAGCCGCTGGCACGGCCCGGGCTGAAGTTCGCGCCAGCCCTGCATAGATTAGGGAGCCCCGAACTCCCAAATACCACAGAGACCCAAAACATGCTCCAGGGGGCGGACGAAGGGAATGGCTGCAGAGCAGCCCCCTCCCAGGACCCAGAAACACCAGAAGAAAATCAATGGGGAGACGGATCCACCTAGGGGCGCAGCTCCGCCCTCGCCCCGTCCCCACCTACCACCCTGCCCTCCGTCCCCGAGGCCGCGCGCAGCTCCACCCCCACCCCCCACCCCCCCAGCGCTGTCCACACAGTCCTTTCTGCAAAACAACACGACGCACCGCCCCCCGCACGAGCACCCGGCGGACTCCGGGGCTACGCCCAGCGGGCTCCAGCCGCGCCCAACCCAGGAGCGCGCCCCGCGGTCCCGCTGCACAGCAGGGCCCCCCGCCCCCACTACAGTCTCTAACCCGGCCGCCCGAGGGTGGGGAGCAAGATCTAGCCTCAGATCTGCCACCCAGCTCCGGCCCTGCCTTGCCCCCCTCTCCCAGCCGCTGTCACCAGAGGGACGGGCTGGGGGCGCGCACGGCGCGAGCGGGGCGGGACGCTTTAACCGCCTCGGCGCCGCGGCCGGTGGTCACCGCATTGCTGGCACTCACCGGAATGAGCACTCGCAGCGATCGCCTCTTCTGGCTGGGATTCTTCTTGCCGCCGCTCCCGCCGGAGCTGGAAACCTCTTTCTTCTTCTTGGTGTCCATGGCCGCGCTTCCCATAACTTTAACCCGAAGTTAAGCCGGGGACTCGTCCCTGGGGTTCAGTCCCCTCCCTGCCTCCTCCGGCCTCTGGCCAACGTTGGTCCCGGGTCACGCGCTCTTTATGACTGTTTTTCCCTCGTGAAGACACCGCGTGGGGACTTCCGCGGGGAGGGGGTGGAGCAGGGAACTCGCGCCACGACACCCAAAGACTAGAGGTCCGGGGACCGCGGAGTTCGGCTCCCTCTTTCTCCTACGGATCTATCGGGTGCAAAGTCGGAGTCGAAGCCCGAGCTTGCGCTGGTTACGCGTGGCAGCGGTCTTCTGCTGGGTGACAAAGTTTTCTTCCTTTTGCAAAGCGAGGCAGCATTTTCCACCCTCTAGGCTCCTCCCACAGCCTCCCGGAGGTAATCTCCGAGGCAGGTGCAATTAAAAACAACAATTTGGAAAACCGAGCTCAGGTGCTTGAGTCTAGGTGGAGAGAGTGAGACGGTCCGTATTTGAGGCATGACCCTCGGCCGCAGAATAAAGCAGCCCTGAGCCTGGAACCGGGGCGGTCCTCTCCGCGCGAGAGGGAGGGCAAGAGGGGAAGAGGAGGTGCAAAGACAAAAGCTCCTCGCAATTGGGCTGCGTGGCTGGGGGTACAAGTTTGGGCCGCCGATCGCGCGGCCCTGCCCCCCCCCCCGGACAGGGCCGAAGCCCCATGGGGCCAGGAGGGCAGGGCGCCCGCCCCTGGCAGGGCCACTGTCCCAGGGGGCAGAGGAGCGGCCGCCAGGGGCCGGGCCTGGCACCGACGCAGGCTCGGGGAGCGCGGCTCGGTGGAGGGCGGCGCGCGTTGTACAGGAAGTGCGCGGCGTGCGGCGCCACAGCCCCGATCCCGCCGCCCCTGGGTCGCCGAGCACAGTCCCCGCGCCTGGGGCAGCTCTGAGACTCGCTGGAAGTGGCCTTCTGCGCCATTTCTTCTCCCAATATCTTTTAGGCCTTATCCCCTGACACGCGCACGCACCCGGTCTCCGCCGCAGACCCTGCAGCTTGGGGTCCCCGGATCTCGGTGGGCTGCGGGTGGACCGGCACGTGTTTCGAGGACAACCGCGACCCTGCTGGTCCCGCCCAGCTCGCGACCCGAATCCGCACGGAGGACGTCTGTGCCGCTGTGTGTGCGCGCGGGCTCTTCGCCCCACCCGCCCGGCACTTTTCCGATTCATGGAGAGTTGCGCAAAGGATCCACGGTAAAGTGCGCGTCTCCGAGCCGCGGAAACGCAGAGTTCTTGAGACTGCGGGAGAAATCAGGGGAAGGCTGCACGTGCTGCCGGGTGCTTTAGAGCCACTGGGCTGCGGACCTGGCACCAACTGTCTCAGCCCCCCTCGTGGGTACCCCCAGCATGGCGCGACTTCGGCTCCTGGGCTGCAGTTAGGGTGGCTGAGTGGGGTTCGTTCGCTGCGTTTTTGATGGGGTGACCCCAAGGGTCACTCAAGCTGTCTGAATGCTGACGTCAGCTCAGCGGCGCTGGGTAAATCAGGAGTGCAGGGAGGCCAGGGATCGCTTGGGTGACATCTTCAGGTGCGGCCGCGGCGCGGTTCGCACCTCCAAAGAAGCGCGCTTTAGGAACTATGTCTTAGGAAAAGGGCGTGCCTGGGGCGCGGGAGGGAAACCCGGGTTTCAGCCATCTTTCCCTCTTCGGATTCTGACTCACATTCCAGCAGCGTGGGTCAAATGCCAACAGTGTAGTCGGGTCCCTGGTTCCTAGAGGTGGTTTTAGGGTACCTTCTCCTCCCCTGCTCTCCAGCCAAAATAAAGCCAGACTGGAAGGTCTCCTGGCCGGGCCCAGGCGCTGTGAAGGGACCTTTTTAGGGCCACTAAGATAGCGGCCCTCCTGGCCCAGCCTGGGTATTTTCTTGGTCTCTTCCTGGCTGGCTCCTTGCTGAAGGATTTTCTCGTCACACAGCAAGACCGTATGGACTCCACAAAACTCTCAGATCTCTGGTTGAAGTAAAAAAGGGTAGATCTTCATTGTCTGGGATTCAGTGTAAATTACCACAGGGGTCCACCCTCACCCACTAAAACTCCATGCCGATCCCTAATGTAAGCGTCGACTCTGTACCTTAAAATGTTAATCCTGGTCACAATAATTTGCCAGAGTGCTTAAGTGATGCCATTTGATGAGAGCTGGTTTTGAAAGAAAGACAGCGATCAGAAGGAAGCAGGTTTTTGGGGAGGGAAGTCATCAGGAAGGGGTTCCAAAGGGGGACCCCACTATATTCCCTATACCACAACATACTTTCTTTAAGGAGCAGTCTGTTTTGTTTTGTTTTTGGTACCAGGGATCGAACTCAGGGCCTTGTGCTTGTGCAGCAGGCGGCAAAACCACTGAGCTAAATCCTGAGCCCTAAGGGCCAGTTTTTAGCAAGGGTTGTAATGTGTACTTTTGTCAATTGACTTGTGTACATAGTACAATCCTTAATCAATAAATTTGTTCTTTGAGTTTATGTTGTTGGGGTACAGACTTTAATGCTTTGAAATGTTAAAACACTTTGCTGGTGCCCAGGGTCCCCACACTGAAGGGTGAAGTGGGGATCACTTGCACTCTAATTTCTCCCTACCCCACCTTGCTTTTTTTTTTTCATTTTGTCTCTTTATATTCTGTATAAATGAAGATGGTTTTTGGAAGCCATGGGTCATCTTTGCAGAGCACCAACAATTTAGAAGACCCAGAAATGATAGTGTAATTATGAATTTGAAGTCTGCCCCTGTCCTTTGCCCTTAGAATGGTTCAGGATTCTTGAAGACCTGTAGGTAGATACTTGTGTCAGATGGTACAGGCTTGTTGACAGTGTATCCCCTATCAGAAAAAAGCAAGAATCATCTTTTTAATCACCTGTGGCATGCTGGACACCAGGTTGAGTAGTTCATATGAATGATCTAATTTCTATTAAGACCCCCAAGGGTACCACTCTCTGCACTTTACAGACAAGAGCAGCTGCAGTCCAGTTGCCAGCCAGTGGTTTGTGTCCACTTAACTCCTATCTGTTGGTTGTTGCTGAACTTCTGGGGAAATAAAAATGTAACCTCCACTTCTTTTAAAAGCTTTGCACAAGACTGTAGGAAACATCTCCAGGTTGACCATGGACAAACTACAGAACATCTGTTGCCCTGGTCCCCATGCCTGTGACGCAGATCTGGGGAGATCTGTGCCTGTGTATTCAGGACACTGACTCCATTCTGTGCAAAAAGCACGCTCGGAAACAATGAACCAACAAAGTCTGGATTCAGGGTCCTTTGTAATTGCTGTGATAGCTCACTGGACAACAAGCTATGGGTGTGTTATATAATAATGACAACCAAGCAAAGTTGCACTCCTGTTTTTATCATTCCTTAAGCTTGGAACCAGCTGCCTAATATCACAATAGCTTTTGCTCCCTGGTGCAAATGGAGCCAGTGATATGGATCCCCAAAGGAAGTGGAAGCGGGAGTATGGGATGAATGGGGACACAGCCTTGGGAGGACCCATCTCCTGACTGCCCCTTCATGGATCAATTTCAGTTTTCCAGGGCACTTGTGGTGGCTACATCCTGTATCTGTGTTCCAGGTGACCCTTCATCCATAATGTCAGTCAACCACAGGCAGTCCTGGTGGTGAAATCCCACAAGTATTTTGGATTAAGGTAAATAAAGGTGAACTCCATAGCAACGTTTTCCCAAGGGATAGGTTTGCCATTCATATCTTCTGTCTAGAGGGTCCTGGCCAGCTCAGTGCCCAAATTTGCACTCCCAGAGTGACAAGATCCCCAGAGAGACAGATTTAGCAAGCAGGGTCTGTGTGGACCACACAGCAGAAGGCAGTGGAGAGGTGTCTGTTTGCTAAATAAAAGAATGGGTAATCCCATTAATCATTCGCCCTTTCTGACTAAGGGCAGTAGCCACATAAGCAGCATTAGCTGGGAACACAGCCTTTGCTTCTGCAACAGCTGACTCCATAATTGTTTTATGGGGAATCTCATGTGACTTTTGTTCTAGTGATCCAGCATTGCCTCCCAGCCAGTGGAAGATCTGGGATCCCCAGGTTGAAGAATTTGACTAAAGGTCTGTGTGTGTTGGGTCTCAACTTCGAGCATGCAGACCATTAAACCCTGGGAAATTCTGCATTCACAATGACCTGAACGTGGCTCATGACTTACTTTTGACCTCTTACTCACCATCTATTGGTACATGATGAAAGAATGTAAATAAACCCTATTAATGACTCTTTTTGTAATTATACCAGCCCAAAGTTTCTACACTGCAGTACAGATCTGGCCCTCAGATACATGATAGGTGTGTCCGAGGCTGTGGCTCACCTAGCCCTCCTCCCTATGTCCTCTTTTGTATGACATCTCGTCCTGGTCTCTAGGGCTTTTAACAGAACACCAAGAGAAAACATTTACATGCTATCTGTGCCCTGGGCATGGCCAGCATTTGGACAACAGAGTGGCAGGTGGTGACCCTGATTTTCAGGTGCTCATGGGCTTAGAACCCTTGGCTCCCAAGCCCCATTGGAGAGGCGCAAGCACTGTTGGAGGAAGCTATTCCCCTCCCAGAACGTCCCCATGACCTCGCCAGTGTCCACCTCTGTCTTCCACCTTAGCACTTCATTCTGTGATCAATCAGTGCCCATTTGTGCACCGACAAAGCCCACAGGGACACTCAGGTCAAGGGCTCCGGGCATGCAGGGTGGTGCTCAAGGACACAGCGGTTTTTAACAACTCTCCTTACACCATATGGGTCAAAGGGTATTTTGTACAATGTTCCTAAATATAACTCTTAAGAATCCCATGAGTTAAGAATGGTGGAGAAACTTTCCAATTGAGACTGTAGCGCGGGCTTGCATAAGGCCCCTTTACATCATTACGACACATACTCCCAATGGGATCATTGTGCAAAAGGCCTTGCTGTGTTTTCTTCTGTCCCCACTCATTATAGCTTTTTATCCTCTAGGTTAAAAAATAAAGCATAATTTACAAAGTCCGTTGTTCTTTTGCCTGAACAAGAGAAGATTTTCTGGTCACTATAGAGCTTACGCACTCATGACTCAAAGGCTTTCTGGCATCACCTGTGTTCGTCAGAAGGAGGGTACGCTTGTATAGCTATTTGCCTTTGCTCATAGATCCAGTTCCTGTCCTGCCCTGCTTTGTATTTCGGGAGACTGCAGCCCCAGGATCTTTTGGCAACTGGTATCTGGTCAAGTTTGGCCAATGGGAGGTGGCTGATGAGGGTGGGGACAAGAGTGTGGAGGAGGAGAGAGGCTGGGGTTTCTTCTGCTCTGGCTTCACCTTGGGCAGCCCCAGCCCTGGCTGGAGAATCCCCTGGACATTTGAGCAGATATTTGAGGACTGTGCCAAGGGTGAGCCGTGTGGGTCGTTGGGGAAGAGGATTCAAGGGCAGGTTTGGGGTGGCTGAAGTTTGGTGAGAATAAGAGCAGTAGGAAATGTGATCAGAGAAGGCTTAACATTCGGATATAAGGGCTTTGGCTTCTACCAGAGTGAAATGGGCTACTTATGGGGGGTTCTTTGTTTTGGTTTTGATACCGGGGATTGAACTCGGGACCTTGGGCTTTCAAGGCAAGCGCTGGAACCACTGAGCTAAATCCCCAGCCCTAAAAGTGAAATGGGCTGTCGGTGGGGTCGTCAGCTAGAGGAGCAGCTCAGGAGAGCCATGGGGGGGGGGGGGCAGTAAGTGGTGGACACGGTGTCTAGGAGCTTTGCTGAACAAGGGAGCCAAAAAACAGGTAGTGGGTAGAGGGAAATGGGGGTCAGGAGAGGGATTTTTGCCTTTTACAATGGGGGACATCCTGCATGTTTGTGTGCTAATGACATGATCCCAGACAGTCACCAGAGGGAAGGGACAATGCAGGAAAGAGGAAAGCGAACTACAGGAGCCAAGTGCTGGTGTAGTGGAAGAGGCTGAGCTGTAGCAAGTGTGGCTGGCCTCAGATGGGGCCTGGGGACCTCTCACCCAGCTTCCCCGAAGGACCTGGTCAGAGGCAGCTGGGAGACCAGGCTTTCTTCTGAGCGCCTCTATTTTTCTGTGACCAGGAAGCAATGCCACCAGCTGGTGGGAAGAAGAGATGTGGAGAGAAGGGATGAGAAAGCTCCTGCAGGAGGGTGGGATGCAGTCCACTCAGGTGCTTTCGACACAGGAGGCCACTTGTGCCACCACCCTCTGCGCCTTTCCTTCTTACCCACAACCCATCTGA